TTCACTTGTGCCTTCAGTATCAGTATTACTGCACAAAGAAGATAAAAACTGGACTGTAACTGCTAAAACATGTTCTATATTAATAAAGAGGTAATCTTAATAGGATCTACTCCCATACTTAAAAAGTGCCTTTTGAAGAAGAGCATATTTGTAAGTTATACTGTGAGAGCTAAAGGTCACTATATTTTATGCAAAACAACTGAACACTTTAGTATTGTCATGAAAGTAATATACCTCAATTAAAAAAGCTCAAATATATATAAATTCAGATTTTTCTTAGAGTATGTGCAAGAAAAGAAGAGATTTAGAATGAAAATGTAATTTTCTCTCTATACTTTCTTTATTAAGTAGAATTCCTTTCCTTTACTTTATGTCATTCCATGAAAAGAAAGTGAGGGTAATATTAGTTGAGTTGCTTACTGATGGAGGGGGTGTGTCCCTTTCTTTAGCTTCATATGAATAACTGAGGAAAAAGCTGTGTAATCTGTTGCTGATATTTCTTTACGAAGGGGAGAGCCAAAAGTTACAAGTGAAGCTTGCCTGGACCTGAATCTGCAACTTCCTCCCACAGCCGCCTACACGCCACACTTGTGTGCCAGCTTCCTTTGGCTCCATTTAACCAGACCTAGGAGCCAACATTCCAACTATCTGTTTAGTAAGCAAGTCTTGGGGACTTCTGTCTGTGACTGACTTAAGCCTCAGCTTCTGAGTAAACACTTGGTGCCATCTGGATGACTATTTTATAACTCCTGAAAGGGATAGGTCCGCAGGAACGTATGGATGGACGCTCGTTTTCCTCAGGAACCAAAAGCAGCATATCGAGTGTCAAGAGGAATAGTTATCATATATTTTACAAGAGATAGCTACGCTACCTTCCCTCACCTGTCACTCTTCTGACACAGCACGCACAGGCTTAAGCTGGGGATACCAGAGAGGGCAAGCTGCAGAGCCAGCTGTGACCCTGCAGAAAACAGTCCCCAGCTTCTGCCACTAAATCCCATATTTTGACTAAGCCACACAACAGAGTAGTAAAATCCCTGCCGTTTCTTCTCTGAAGGTTCCTTAGCTACAGGAACTTAAACTTTAAAAAACACCCCACAGATTGCTGCATAAAGAGGACATAATAAAGGAGAAAAATTCAAAATATATTTGCAGCATTTATTCATAAGACATCTGAAAAGTACTAAAGAAAAGAGACACCTAGTACTTACAGAGAAATTCAGAACATAGCAAAGAAATTAAAGGCTGCATAAAGAATCAATCATGACTTTGGACTACTCTCATAAAACTACCATCATAGATGAGGAGACAAAATAAATATGTGTATCTGGACTTGTGTAGTGTTAACTGACTCCATAGAAACATAGGAAAACTTTACATCTTTACTAAAAGGGCTCAAATATGCACATATATATATTGAGTTTACAATAAAATGCATTTGTGTGAAAAATGCCTGAATCAAACAAATATACTTAAAACTATTGAAATTACTAATTTCATTAGGATTTTACATAAAGCCTATAAACTTTTTCATATATTTCTTTTTACAGCTTAGCATATTTTGTGCTACAATGCTGTTTCTTTTCTCTAATTCTTTATGCATGATTGATGAAATTATATTAACAAGACTTCCATATGTGCCTTAAAGAAATGTACAGAAACATATTCAACTCTAATCCCACCTCTTTCTGAATTCTCTGCTATTGCTGCAAGTAAGAAATTTTGTTAAGTATGCATGTGTTAAGATTTCAGTATGAAATTTCTGTTAATGACATCAAACAGGATAATCCAGAGCTCTATTTTTTTAGATCAATGTACTTCCTGAGCTATGAAATTTCTATTTCAAACTCATAAAATAATTTTTGCAACTTAAAAATCAGTGGTATTGTCTCTTCTGTTTTGCAGTTTTGGCATATCCTCGTGTACCTAATAGGTTGTTACAGCTGTGGGGTATTAATGAATTCCGCCATACATACTACCTCAAAGTATCCCTCATTCCATACGATAATGGCTATATCTGTCAGCTGAACACTTAAAAATACAGGTTTTTCCTCCAAGTACTGGCAATTTCATTCTCTTCCATATTTTCTCATGTTTCCATGCTTCTTATGGTTCTGAGTAGTCAAGGATTTCCTACCCATCAGGGATGCCTGAACACTTTTAGACACAGAGTCACTGACATATTTTAGACTTTTGCAGGTACCAATAGCACAGAAAAATGAAAAAAACAAGAGTTTCTACTTCTTGGTGTTACATACCCCTGTAAATTACCTAAAGACAACTCTCCCTGGACCAAAGGACCATGAACCAGCTGTTTGGAAATGACTGCAGTGAAGCAGTCTCAGTCTTTTGCCACCTTCACACTCCCTATGCTGAGGACAGGACCATGGTACAGGTCTGTGTATGGGGAGAATGTTCTGACCCTGAACAACATTGCTGATGGTCTAGTTTATACTGATTCTAGAATATACTATAGATCTCCTCAGCTTATTCCACTGATGTATGATTTCTATGGAAATTTCTAGGAATGGAAAAGCTGCACAGGGCAGCAGAGCTCTGTATAACACCATCATTTTCCGCCTGTTTCATTATGCAATTGAACTGAGGCAGAAGATCGGTGACCCAGGCCCAGTTTGAGCAAAAACAAGTCCCTTTCAATATTCCCTCTCTCCCTGCCCAAAAGTCACATTTTGGACTTAGCTCTAACAATGTGTCATAATTTTCACTCCTCTTCCCTCCTTGCCCCTCAGTACAATAATTAATTTATCTTTTGCATAAAAATAAATAATTTTCAAATTAGGAAAACATAAATATGACTATAAGCAGAGGACAAATTTATGACATTATGCCTGAGTCCTAAATGAATGGAACATTTTAAAACTTTGCTTTAACTGAAACACTTATGCCACATTTTGGGTATAACAGCACGAATGGTCCTGATATAATACATTCTCATTAAGTGACACATGGATCTTGACATTATCTGACCTACTTCTTATTCACAGCGAGATATGACATCTTCCTTTCACGATTATATATTGTAGGAGTCATGGCCACACAGAAGTCACACAAATAAAACAGCTCCGAGGACTGGATTTTCCCCTAGCCACCATCATTCATGTCATTCATCTTCTTTTAGCTCTTGCCAGCAGAAACGCGTGACTATTTACAGTGGCAGGGAGAGAAAGCCTTCCTGCTGGGCCATATATTCCCACACTGTTGTAATCTGTCTTCAAACTGCTAAACCCTTATCTCTTCTCCAGTTAGCAGCTACACAAAAACCACATTTCAATATGTCAGTTACTAACATCCCTCTGCTTTCCGAAAATTTAAATATTTTCTTTTAAAAACTGTGAAGACGACCATCAGTGAATGTACCAACACAGAGACATCTTGCTGTGCCTGTATTGACTGAACTAAAACATTTGCACAGCATTCTATAATCAAAGAAATGCAATTCTTTAATAGTCCATTCATGAAAGTGAATCACTTCAGGTACAGAAAGAGTTAAGTTCAGTCAATTTGAAAGCAGCTTTTGATTTTCAATATTGTACTACTGACCTTCAAGTACAATTCTTAGGAAAGATAAGTGTCCACAACTGCAGCTTAACACAATGAACCCATTCAGAAGAGGAACATATCCAGGTGCTTCTATCAGAATGGACGTCATAATTTTTCCACAATTTACATTAAAAATGCTCTTATAATGCACACAAAATAGATATCCTCAGTTCTTTTTCCTACCTTATCCTCAGACATGTCCTATTCCTATTTCAATGATCCCTTCAAGGGCTGTAAGAATCTATCTAAAGCAAAACCTACTCCAATCCATCCACTGCAGTAACAATCCTATTGCAGTTTACTACTAGTATTTCAACATTAACTCTTCCAACACACATTTTGACTGTATACTCAAGAGCTGAAGGACATAGATGGACCTGTTTACCTCTAGCAAGACATGAACTGCAGCAAAGAGTCACTGACCTTGGGACACAGTACTAACTTATCTCCAGGAAATCAAGATACAGAATATTTAGGTTTCATCATCCAAAAAACAAGTACCATAAAACATGGCAACTTAATTTTGAAGCCTGAAGAATAGAATTTCTCTTTATCATATGGGTCTCTGGTTATATCCTTCCATGTTTGTAAGATCTAATGGAGGTCTTTGCTGCTACGGTCTTGGAAATTAGAAGAGTGAAAAGACAATGTATAATCATTTACACTATGAATGACAGTCCTTATGAAGTTTATTTAGGATTACATGGGTAATATGAATAGTGTAGAAGTAGTTCACAACACTGAGTTATGGGGGAAGAGCTACTCATATCATGAAACTACAGCCTGGGAATTTGGGAGCTTCTGTCTATTTCTTTTTTTCATTTTTCCTGTGCTCTTTTGCACCATTCTGAATTGGTTTTATCCAAACAGACTATCCTTTATGGGAGGGCTTCTCCTTTCATTTCATGAACACAACCACTAGAATTCAAGCAGAATTTATTACTTTTACAAAGCAAAACTTGCCCTGGAGAATTTTGGGGACACTTTTCTTCAGGCTTTATACATGCTTGGGGCAAGGATCATTGCAAGAAAATTAAGAACATCTTCCACCATCTATATAACACTATCTAGCCAGAATACAGCCTGATACTGTATATTAAAAGCATTAGTAATTTTTGCAAGCTTTACTGAAAAATGTTTTTCACTAAAAATAACAAGGGAATTCTTTCATTTCAACAAGCCTATACTATTTATACACAGAATAAAAAACATAATATTCTTGTTAGCATTTGGTGGGAATCAAGATGTTTTAAATGTGCTTTTTTTTTATATTTACAGAATTCCTTTCACAAGTCATATAGAAAATGGTGAGGTACTCTAAAGAGAGGGACTTGGCTCTTATGTTTATTAGGGAAAGTATTTACACTGCAAATAAGTGAAAAATGTGAAGCATTTCTTAGGGATTTTCTTTTGTTTGTTTTTGTTTTACATGTACTCACACTCAAGGCAGCTGGTCCTGGAGGTCCTGCATCTCCCTAGTTAAAACAGGAGAGTAAATAAATCAGCAATCTCTTTAGTTAAATATATTTGACCTCTAGTCATTTTAGAGAATATGCACCACTGCAGAAGTAATTTCAGTATAATCATCAAACATGTTCATTATGAAAATGTGTGAGTAAAGGGATATTCTTTTCCAGTAATGGCAGACATATACACAGTTTGCCACAGGTTAAAGGGAAAAAAAATACCAAGCCTCTGCATAAATGACTCACAGCTATAAAAAAAAAAAAGCAATCCTTCAAAACACATTTGCATATGTTAAGTTACAAGCTGCAGCTTACATGCACAAGGTGGCTGCTGAAGTCAGTGTGACAGCTCACATATTTAAAGACATCTGACTGTGTAAAACATTCACAGAATTAGGTTGCTGAGGTACAAATCACATTTGAGACCTTCAGGTTTAGTTCATGGGAGCAAACAGAGTAATTCAGAACCAAATTCAGACTCCTGTTCAGAACTCCTTTTAAAATTTTTTGTGATAAAGAGTACTTGTCTTCTGCATTTAGTCAGCCTGTATTCATATTCTTCAACCCTTAAGTTACACAAATGGCAGCAGTGGATGTTTGTCACACATAGTTTTGGCAATGTGTTCACAATTGAAGAATGTCACGCGTACTCACATATACATACAACTTAATAGATTAAAAAAAGTACCTTTTCTCCTTTCGGACCAGCCACACCAGGTCTACCAGGGTCACCTTTTAGTCCCTGGGCAAAGAAAAGAAATGCTTATTTGTTGTCATCTGTGAAAAATTTTGGACTAAATCCTACAGTGCTTTGAATTACTATATACTAAACAGTTAAGCCTTAAAATTCTATCCCATTATTAGCACTATCTCAAAATCCTTTATTTTCATTATTTTGTGAACAGACAGATATCTATTGAAGACCACATGTGTCTTCGACACATAATTAAACATATAAAGCCAATCTACTTTATCATGCCCCATTATGGCAAGTGGCAAGTAGAAATGCAAAGTTCCTTTGAAGTCCCAGTAGGTCTGTGTCTTGCATGGCCAACAAAAATAAAACAGAATACTAGACAGTACTAGTACATTCACTTAAACACCACTAAAATTGGGAAAGAGGCAGAGATGGAGAGAGATCTGCAGAGTCCATGTTTCAAGTAGCAATGCTGAGCTGGTGAGCTACAGGAAGGTACAGTTCAGAGTTGCTGCAAATCTTCCAACACTCTCACCTTCACCAGTGTTTGAAAAGGCAATTAGAGAAATAATTGATTCTTTCATACTTCCTGTCTTACTTCTGCCTTCAGCTGGAGAAGCAAATACTGTTGCCTAGCCTTACACATTACACATGCAGCAACTCCACACTTGCAGGGGCAGAGCAGTTTGGGTTGGAAGAGACACTTAAAGGTCACCTAGTCCAACCTCCCTTACAACCAACAGGGACATTGTCAACTGGATCAGGTTGCTCAGACCCCCATCCAACCCAACCTTGAACATTTCCAGGGATGGAGCATCTACAACCTCTCTGAGCAAACTGTTCCAGTTTTCACCATTTTCATTGTAAAGTATTTCCTACTTATATCTAGTCTGAATCTACCCTCTACAATATCTATTTATACAGCTCTTATGCTAACAAGTTCTCACCAGAAGCACTCAAAAAAAAAAAAAATCTTTAGCACCCAGGACACAATCTTTGTGGTCTTCTTGCAGCAAAAAAAAAAAAATTGAAAAGCAAGAGGTTTTGAAATATGCCCAGCAAATTCAACCCATTCTGCAGCAACAATTGAACTTAATTCTCATGCTGGACAAACCTACCAGGAACTAATTTTTACTTAAGTCAAGATCTTTGTCCTGTGTCTTCCCTCTGATCACTGCTTTAGCAGCAAGGGACAGGAGACCATGTACAAGTTCAAAGATTTCACTCAGAAATGAAATGGCAACAATGTAGGCAATAAAGGACAGAATCATAATGAGATACTACACAACTAGGCCACCATCATTATTATTCTGGAGGTTAAATAGGACAAGGACAGAAAAGATTAATCTACATCTGAATTACGGTTTACAAACTAAAGTTGTTCTTGGCTCCCTTTTTGTCCTTGCAAACTCTCTTCCTCAGTTTGCAATTATTGGAAAGATAGAGACAACTGGCACAAAAATGGTAACTAACATCTGTGCCTTGGTGGGTACAGAAACATTAAATCAGTGAGTGTTCTAAATACTGCGTATTTGTGCAACTTCACTTCCTGCTAAAATTACATTAATTCACCATCTGGAAGGAACATCATTTAGAACTATATGAGCATTTAAGTACCCACTTTGGATTAAATTTGTGGTTGTTGTAAATACCCCTGATTTAGCTTTGATTTGTCCTTTATTAAGCTTGCCAAATACGTAATAGTTAAATCAGAAGTAGTTTTGCTGTTTGAACTTAAAAAATGTGATAGGCAGATGGATTCAAAAACCAAGCCAAAAAATTGCTTTCTTTTTACAATCTGCATATTTATGACATAGCCTTAATATTGTCTCCATTTACTACATTTTACTTTCCACCTCCTTCTCAAAGACTGCATAAAACACAGCCACTCCATATTCTAAAAGCCATTTTAGGGATTTTTCAGGTATGCAAACTGTATGGATTTGATTCACAATCGATACTAGCAAATCAGCAGTGGAATAATATGCATTAGTTTAAGAATTAGTTCTCAGGCTGTATGTTTACAGAAGAGAAAAGATATTGCTAAAAAAATCTGCAACTCACAGGCGGTGATATATATCTGTGTGTGTCTCTACTGAATAGAAAAGGCAACTGCAAATGAAAGATACTGAGCCTGAACCATGCGCTTTCAAACTACGAACTTCATTTTTCCTAATTGCTGTGTTTAAAGCTTTTAGTAGTGTTCCTGCAGAGCACCTCGGTGAGGTATGTAGTCTGACAGCTACTGCAGAGATGATGACCACAGAAATTGACCTCAAATAAAAAGAACAAGGGGAAACTACATGTTTGACAACAAGCCTTGCAGTGTTTGAAAGTGGATTTTTAAGGACCCAGGAAGATTTATATATAACGCATCTATTCTAAAATACTTGAATTAGCTTTTATTTGCAGTTTAAAACCCTAAGAGAGAAAAGTAGTATCAGAAGAAAAAAATCGCTTAGGATGCTATCCCATTAGAAGTATTTCTAGTTCTCCTACACATTACATATGCGTTTTAAAAATACTATAATCTTAATGAGTTCCAGACATACTGAATGCTTGACAAAAACACATCTGGAACTGCACTATGCCTATTCTTCCTTAGAGTGACCCTTTTGAAGGTGCTGAGAGGTTTAGCTGCTGCTCATTCTCCAAAATGCCATAAGAATTCCTGTGGTAAGTCAAATGTGTAGCCCCTTCTAGCGCAGTACAGTATGGTATCCTGTCTTTGGCAGACACCAGAACAGGATGCATCAGTAAAATGAATGTGGTTATCTATACAGATATAATTTGGATGATTTTAGATTAAACCTGAAATGAGAAAAGCTTGTTTTCTGCAATATTTTATAAGAACAAGGTCAGTTTTGAAAACTAACAAGTTTCTATCAGTCTAAGGAGTCTGTTATCAGATTTGCCAGGAATTCAAGAACTGCCTAAAAATTCCAGCAGCTCTCATTAACAGAGAGCAAACGAACTATTGAATTCTATCCCAATCTAATTCTACCTTTTTGAGCCCAATATAATAATACGCATTTGTGAGTTCATGAACAGTCTTCAGCTGCTGTGTTTTCTCCTCTGTAAAGACTACAGATTAGTCTTTTTACCGGTCACAATAAAGTTACATTATGGTTCCTCTATGGATGCCAAAATGCAAAGTGAACATTAGCATATATATGTATAAGGCTGATTCAAAGCTAACAAGATAACAACACTTATAGCAGAAATAGCAGAAGTGAAAAATGTTCTATATATAAATAAAATAAGACAGGTAACTGTAACACAATTATATTGCAAATGTCAATAAGGATATGAAGTCAGACAAATTGGGTCCAGTGGGGGAAAGATTTAACTAGAGGCAGTTTTTTTGTTTGGAGGGGATGACAATGGTATTACTTCTCATGGAATGAAGGAAAAATAGATAAAACAGGTAAAATGTACCATCAGCTGGCATCAGGCACTCTTCTCGATGAAAAAAACGCAAAAATCAGCTGGACCCCAACCAGAGGACTTCAGCAGTTCCACATGGGCCAAGTGTTGCCCATTGGAACTCGATCTATTCGTACAGCATATGCCATGCTGCACACATGTGGCGATGGAACATGCTGTAAGATTGCCATAATATTTTTAGAAGAACTGATTTTTCACTCTAAAAGATATCTGTTGGGAAAAACATAATTTGTTGTTTACAATTCACTGGCTGCATTAAGAGTAATCTGGTTCAATTTCACATCAGGTTAAAATCTCCTAGAACAATACATATTATCTAATGTACTGGAAATACAGTACACAATCCAACACCCTAAACAACGATGTTTATACATTGTTATAGATCAAATCAGTTATCTCTACTGACTAGTGGAACTTGGAAATACTCTAACGACTATGAACAGAACTATATTTTCTTCACAGGGCAGCCTTAAAATCTAAAGATAAAATAGAATTCTACACTAACCACAGTTTCAGAGTCAGCTGTACAACACCAAGTTGTATAAGTTGGGATAACTTCTCTAATTTAACGAAGTATTTTCAAAGCTCAGTTTATCTTTCATGTACTTTAAAACACTGTCATTGCTCTTTTTTCATTAATGTAATTCAAAAACTTCAAATTGCTACACTACTAGAATTTACTGGCCCCTGAGCAATGTCTACTATCTCCTTATACTTTAGTTCTTAACAGAATTCTCAGACTCTAGAAAGAACAAATATCATTACCAACTTCATCCTTTCAAGCAATAGGATTCTTCCCTTCCTATCCATGTGTTTCCTTGCAATGCTAATGCTAAGAGAGTTCAAGATTAGACAGACAGGCCCTGAGGGTGTGAAGGTAAATAACTGTTATTATCATATCAAGACACTGTATCCCTTTAAAAATGTTCATACTTCTGTTTACCTTTTCCCACATGTATAAAAATAAAAAGGTCTGACACATTTTCCATCTTTGATTGAAAACCTGGGATTTTTTTCATTGCTTACTGAACTTTAGAGATCCATCCTTTGACATCAGGTATGTAATGAATAAGAACATCTTATGTAGGAAAATTTTATAAAAGTCACTTATGGTATTGCCTTCTCCAGCAGAAGAAATAAAAATAACTAGTTAAACACTTGGTTTAATGAATATACTAGATTTTCATTTCAGCTTTGGTTTTTTTTGGTCGTGGTTATTTTTTTTTCCAATTTACAAGAAAGACACTAATCTTCCACTAGTTATGCATGACACATGCATGATAAAACTTGCTGTTTTCTCTTACTTTTGTTGAAGGACCGAATTTATGTCAGCAAATAGTAATTGGCAGTATCCCATGTTATTCATTCCTACCAGCACCACTGATCAAGAAAATTACGACTCAAAAAAGCATCTAAAAGTTTCAGTAATAAAGATTTTCTTTCCATTTCAATTCAACTGGCAAGAATATGAATATAACATAGATCTTACTCCACATATAGTTTCATGGATATTTATATTGCAAATTTATCCTTATTCCACATGGGATGTGAATGTATTTATCAGAGTTTCTTTCAGACAGTGTCTCTATGAGGCTCCACTTGCTACAGTGATACAAATGACAGCATTATTACAGAATCACAGAATCATTAAGGTTGGAAAAGAACTCCAAGATCATCAAGTCCAACCTTCGACTTATCACCATCTTGTCAACCAGACCAAAGAATTAATAACTCCTCAATTACAAAATCTTGCATCCAAATATAAAACCAAATATCTGAAAGAGTGGTGGAGAGAAGCAACATATAAAAAAATTACAGGATTTTAGTGGCAGCAATGTAGCACCTGAGTGTTATGTCAAGTGGCTAAAATAATATCTCAAAGGAGAAATGAGACATACTACTTAAACTGGCTGTTCATCCTATACAGGCATATACCTGCTTACAGGTATAATGTGAACATGTAGCACAGGAGGAATATATTAGTAATATATTATTTATGACTACTCCTTAAGAAACCAAAAACAATGGCAACCACATCAGTAGTATTTATAGTAAGCACTCATGTTGTCAGATGGATTTTGAATGATGTCCCAGACTGGGACACGGCACTATAAATTTTGGCTCAGATTCCTGGCATGATGAACTGGGAGATGTGCAGAACAGTTAAACATATTCACAGTTCCTGCCTCAAAACCTGACTCTCAGTGAGATTGACCCAGTTAGCACAACAAGTGAGGGATGAGGGAATTAAAACTTTCTAGGTATAGCATCATCATTACAGAAAGCCTAGTCTCCAAATCAGGTCTGGCTTCCCTCTGCCGTGCTACTTCATACTAGAAAGAACTTTCTGTACAGCTAGGAAAACATGAGCAGCAAGAGCAAGCAAAACTGTCTGTGACACCTACTTTCCTGATTTTGGTAAAAATACATTCAAATATGTTTCTACCATTTGTGCAAGATAAAATGTTCAGTCATCATCTTAAAGTTCTTCACTTGTGAGGATGGAAACCCTCACTCCCCAGGAAGAGGCAACAGCTGCTAGCAGACTTTTAAGTGTTTTCAGGTTTTCTTTATACATCACTGAAGATTAAACCAATGTAAGTAGATTAACTTGATTATTTCAGAAATATCAGATGTTACATTTCTGCATATAGAATGAGTTAGAGACACATTGATAGCAACAAAGAGTGAATGATGCACAGTCCTTTAAATTTAATGACTGGCATCTCCATGCACAGTGATAACTGAATCCAAAACGTTTTATGTAAGTGTTGTTAAAAAGGAATTGTGTGTGAATTCAAACAATACAATGCTATATTGCCTTGTGCCATTTTACTTCCAAACTGTTTTAATGACAGTTTCCACAATGATAATGTACTGTTTCTTGACACATTGCAATAGTTCAATAAATATTTAAAATTATAAATGTTCAGTATTTTTCACTTTCACAGTGCCACTATGTTAAATATGTCCTGGAGTTCATCAGATACTTAGGATACCTTACTCTTTCTAAAAGGTTGACGGAACAAGATCCCATGTAGTAAAGGAGATCATGTAAGACCAACACAGAAATGTCACCAGGGCTATGGAAAGAAACACAGATGTGTTTTTTCCATGCTGTCAGCATATATGTATGCATGACAGAAGTATATGGTTCACCTTTACAGAGAGGCAGGCTACAAGAGAACATCGCTTTGAATATCTAAATGTAGTTTCACCTTAGTATATAGTATACATTTTCATATGAAAGACATACACTATTACTGAAAAATAGACCAATTTATCTAGCATTAAAGTATAATAAATCAAAAATAGGAAAAATATTTTTATGGTTACAGTGTGAATTAAAAGCCAGGTGATGTAAAATTTCATAATTACGTAGTCTGTTTTACTGCATTTTCAGTAGACCTGGCTAGATTGCCATAGTATTTTTGTGTCAGATGCTGACCCTTTCACCCTTTTGCTAAAGTTGCTTTAAAAGGTAATGCTGAATGATTTTTCCAAATCCTGTGTCTGGATTCCAATCCTAATGTGAGTCATTCCTCATCTGTGAGATGCTCTCTGCCTTCAATTGCAATGGTTTGCAACTGGAGAGCAAACGGTATCCTTCATTGAAACCTAAAGCCAGGGTGACCCCCAGGAAGGTCAAGAGGGAGATTGGAGGGGAAGAGGGGATAAAAAAAAACCAGCTTGCTTGACTTTATCGTTACGTTTTTTAAAAAATCTTCTTTTGAAATCATGCTGATTGACCATTTTAGTATTGTATTGAAAAAAAAATCTGATTTTCTGGCCTCTCATCTTGGTTTCATATATACAAAAATAAATGAAAAATTAAAATAGGCAAAAGTAAGGTTTACTGGTGGGCATATCTAAGCTCATGTCAGCTCATGTTCAAGCTTGAATGTGAACTCAGTGATCAGGATTATCCAGTATTTTTAGACACAGACTCAAGGTTTAACTTAAATATGGACCAGTCCAGTTAAACTAAGCAGGCAGCAAAATGTGGCAGTGAAAATAAAAAGTGAAATTTTGACTCTATCACACAAGACACAAGCCACAGTGAGTGACTCAAGGCTCTCACCCATGAACAGCTACCAGCTTGTCTGTTTTCCTTTGCAGAAAGCAAAGTTACAGGTCTAGCTTTACCCTGCCTCCCAAAGTATCCTCTTTTCCAACACATTATGTAACCAGTAATGATTCTCATTTATATTATGTTGCTTTAATCCCCACGCTTGTTTCAGTTTATTTCCTGAGCCCTCAGCAGAAATATCATGGAATCTACCGGATCCTTGCCCACAGCTCTCCTGTCCAACATTAAGCCCTAAGAACCGCTATCTCACTCGAGTGTATCTCTTCTTCTTTCCCTATTATCTTGTGGATGTTAAATCTCCAGCTACACAATTTCTAAATCACTCTCCTTACATAAATTCTGGATTACATTGCTTAACTGTCCACCCAAAAGTTTGTGACTTGACTGTTTCATTATCATCCGGTTTACCTCTGTTCCATGAATGCCTTCTGGTCCTGGTTCTCCTTTATCTCCTTTTTCACCCTAAAAGAATGAATTGTTATTTTATTATATATACACAAGACAAACACTAATTCATGATGCTTTTTAACAGGAAAAATATTTTACCGTTTTGTTCTGTTCTACATGAAGTGCTACATATACATGGCTGGAAGCATAGGCAAAATTATTTTTTACATTCCAACAGAAATTCTTTTTAAATAAATGCCTCTGAAAAATGTCTAACACTGATAGCTACAGTTTTCTATACTTCATAATGTCATTGAACACCCATAAAGACTCATGAGAGAAAAACATTCTTGATTCTTGCTGTATTTCAAGAACATGGTGATGAAACAGAACATTAAAACAGGGAACAGTTTTATTTTTTAAAATCTTAATATTAATATTACATTATCTTTCTAACTCTGAGATTCTTTTTTAATAAAAAATTCTTGTTTTAAGTATCTGATAAAAAACCTGTCCTCAATATTATCATTTGTCTTTGACTTTGAAAAATGGAAACAACTTTTGTTCTGAAAATTTTCTCACAAGCATGAAAATTACCAACATTATTAATCAAAATTTAAAAAATGATGGGAAGGATCCTCCAGAATAGACTATACCTGGTTAATGTGTTTGCTCATGAAATACTGACTACGAACCAGAGTATTCTTGTAGGACACATGACAGAATTCAGTTCTGTATTAATTCTAACTGCTATGCTACTCTAGCTAACACATATTTCATCACAGTGAACAAAATACACCTGCTAAAGAAGCATAATTTAAGAGAAAATGTCTTCAAGAACCAACAAGCTTAAGCAGTTCTATAATTGCATCTCTTTCACTCAACTGAACTTATTCAAATAATAATAACTAATCATAAAGTAACATGATTCTATAATTCTGATAGAAGTGCAAGGACTGACTTCATTAGAGTCCAAGCTCTTCATATAAACCAAAGAAAACAAACAGCCCTGCACTGAATTTCCATGATCTCCAGGGGACTACATTTGTCTGAGCAGAACCCATTCATTACATCAACATCATCTTCATAATTCTGTTAGGTAAATGGCATTGAACTGAGATCGTTCAGCTAACTCCATTTGTGACACAGCCCTGATTCAGAGCAATTCCTCCAGTGGCAATGACAGAGGGCATTTCATCTAATAATCGGTTTTGCAAAATGAGTTTGTATGAGCTTTGTCAAACAACTGAAGACTACTAACAAATTAGCAGCAACAAACTGTGAATTTAATAATCCCACTCAAAAGATGGCTTTGCTGGTTCAGTGTTTCCATTTTAATACATCTTGTTGATAACAAACTTAATGCTACACATTAGCCTGAATCATACTGTTAAGGTTTTTTCTCAAGTATTCCCTTTCTTGTTTGCCAAAACTCCCCCAGAAAAACCCACCAGATAAATTTGTGCATTTACTGCAGAAATTTAAATGACACCAAACAGTTATAGGAATTTAACACTTATTATTTTACTATGTTTAAACTAAAAAGTCCTCTTTGTTCTATGGATTAAGGCACTTTCACTGTCAGTTTAAAAAAAACCAGTTGAAGTCCCAAGGGTACTATTCTTTTTTAGCTCACTTAAACTTTTAGAACAAACTGCAAAAATGACATTTTACTTTTCATCACTGTGACATACTGAACATTTAATTCTGCTTTCAAGATATTTCAACTAGTATCAGTTACACTGCTACAATCTTGCAACAGCTATAAAGATGCATTCATATATTTGACATAATATCTTATGAGAATATATTTCTAGAAGATTTAAAAAATCATTGCTATTTATGGAGTTGTTTTTTCTTCTATGGCTTGTGTATCTGCTTTCACACTTTAAGAGAAAATGATATAAATACGTACAGATTTGCTTCAGTAGTAGTAGCATTCTATAAATTCCCTGATGTATAGTTGGACGCCTAAGGTAAAAGTACCATGTCATATTTTGTTATGCAACATCTACATTTACATAAAAAGTTAAACAGAGAGCCTAAGCCAAAAGAAAACTATTCCCTCACCCTCACTTATCATGTGCCTTGATGTTAGAGGAGCAGTGTGTGTTGGAGAATGTGCCTTTGTCTTCTACAGCAGGCAGATGGTAACCTCAAAATGCCATCAGGTAGTTCTAGACACATACAGGTGTGGCTGGTGAATGCAGGGAAGGAAAAAAACCCTTCCTTATGATTTCCAAGATATTTGGATTTAAGATGTTTATCAGTTTCTTTGACAAAATGATAAAAAGCACCCCCTGTTTATGAGTCTTGGACCTCTGCAGAGTCCCTGGCTTTCTGCCAGTATGTGATTTTACTATGAACATATTCTGATTTTTTAATGGAGTACATGATTTGTCCTTGCCAAGCCTGTTGTATGGAATGTCCGTGTTCTCTGTGAAGACAGAATTCAAACCAAAGAGATGTCCAATTTTTACAATTTATTCTCAGGAGAACTGAGCCAAGTCATGCTCATTTTTGTCTTTATGGAGCACACTATACTGCATAATTAACAGCTTCAAATCTAGCCAATTTGCAGAGTTGCTGAAGCCACTCTGCAGTGTAGAGGAGGCTGTTAATAATCAACATTGTGGTTTACCTCATAGATTAACAAAAAAGAGAGAAAAATGCCTTAATGCCATTTTATATCTAATGTTCCTGCCTGCTTATACTTTATCCAGATGACACAATTAAAGACTATTTATTGCATAAACAGGGTGACAAAACTCTGAAAGTGTCAAGCCTTGTTTATTAGTTAACCAAAACTAACCCAACGTAACATGGAATTATTTGTATTTCTTTGGGTGAATTCTGCATTCCATTACCCTGACAGAACAAGCCGATGGGGTTGCTCCAGAATAACTGCTGGGAGGGATTCAGTCTGCTGTGTGTAATAGCAGATACACTGAATTCAGTGGTAGCATTCTTTAATTAGAGCTAGGGGTTCCTGCATGGCCTCTGCAAGATGACAGTACCAGACTCCAACCCACTCATCCACTTTAAGATGATGTGCATTTTCCTTGCACATTGTTTCCACTTTATTATAAAGACGAAGTAATATATTTGGAAATAAAATACATTCATACCTAAAAATTGACCTAAAAAGGTAAAGCTTTTTCTGCAACGCTGCCCTGTTAATGATACAAATCACGAATTCCTGTTATAATTTGTTTGAAGAATTGGAGTGTCATTGTTAACACTAGCTGAATTACTCTCCAAAGTATGCGTGCTATACAGTATCACTAACTCAGTGTGGATACCTTGTAATTTTTAACCTCTGAAACTCCATGATTTTACCTACATATGTTTAAGACTTGTTATGACTTATTTTTTTTTAAATACTTTTCTGTATTATGCTACAGCTCTGTCTCAGCGGAATGCTCTACATGAATTTTATTTTCTCGTGACCATTTCTCCATGACTTTTAAACTGATCTCAGCTTTTAGTAATGCTCATTGATTTTTCTTGAGTAAGCTAGGAATTTAAAAAAATCCCCATCTTCAGTTAAAAAACCCAAACAAACCCTACGTTTCTTTCTGATTTTGCTGATAGTCTGGAGAGCCGGTATTATGAAGAGCTAGACCTCAATAATATTCTTATTGCCTGACCTTTAAACCTCTTGCGGAATATGAGATAGTACACTTTAGGAAGGTGGCAATACAGAAGCTGAAGCACCTCAGGACTGTTGAGACACTGTACATTTAAAAGGAGTGGAAAGCAAGGAAGACTAATGACTTTATTTCAGTTCAGACTAGGAGGAACTATGCAAGGAAACGTAAGAGGGATGCAAGAAGCTCATTTCCAAGTAGGTTGTAACATTAGAGTATTTCCTAAGCAGGTTCAGAAAGAGACACCATAACACATTGCAGAAATACACTTCTATTTCTAGTAAACTAAAATCAACAGTGATGATTTGGAAGGATGTCACCATGAAGCCCGTGTCTTCCTAAACCCACCTATTTAGGATACTCAGATACAACAAGAAATCTGGTGATCACAAAGCTTCATAGGGATCAGGAATTCAGAGGGCTCAGGAGATACACTTACCAAGAAACAGTGACCAAAGACCTTCTAATTCCAAACTGCACAGTTGCCATCTTGTGAAAGAGTCCTAAACAAATGTTATGCCTGAACATAGTAGATAATGTGTCTTTCCTTCCTGCTTTGCTTACACAGACTGAGCAATACCGGAGAGGTTCATGATAGCTAATTACTGCTTATTCACATTTCTAAGCAAGCTCTAAGCATTTCTAACCAGAGAGGTGATATAAAGGCAAACTACCACCTCAGCTGAGGCCAAAACCTTAGACACAGAACAATCTGAAGCTACGCCAGCCCGAGGCTCCAAAGCTGCACTGATGAACTGCCTCCTGTCAGCAGGAATAAAGCATCCATCCATTTTCATTCTTTGTAGAAAAACCTTAAAATGCAAAATTATTTTGATCAATAAAAACAATTAAAAAAAAAACCAACAAAAAAACCCAAAACAACTAAAAAAAGCAAACCCCAAACCAAATGAAAAAACCAAGTCCAATAAAAATTTCAGTATAGTGCTCTCCAAATGGAGAAATCCAATGCACTAACAATGAGAATAACCCATGCAGCACTATTGCAGAAAAGTATCTGGGGATTATAATAGATCATATAATGCATGGGAACCTGTGACACAAAGTTGTTTTTAAAAGGCTAAACTCCATTCTCCATTTGCCAAATGCAAGCTGAAAAAACCCCAGTTATTCTGGATTACTCGCCACTGATGAGAACAGTGAGAAACAACATCTAGTTTAGGGTATTATCTTTTTCATGGAATTTTGTCAACTTTAAGTATCTGTTCTTCTCCAAATCAGAATGATGGAAAGGTTGCAAAAAAGTTAGGAGGAAAGAATGAACGTAGGACATGCTAATGGATCTCAAATATGGGAAAGAAGATTATAAACAGAACATCAAGTTTTCCATAGTGATACTAAAAATAATGGGCTTCATTTGTGGTCAGAAGGATTTTTGGGGGGTGGGGGATAAAATTTGGGTTAAAA